GCCCTACCCACGCCGCCATTTGCGCCTGCAACTGTCAATCACTGGGTCCCGACCGGTGATTACCCACTGGCTCCCAGTGATTACCAAGCATCTCCGACGGGGAGGAGGACTGTTTTGTTTACTAACAGACCTCCTCCCTGTCGGCTTGGGCACACTGCTCTGGATGGCTGTGAACAGCACAGCCATCCAGAGCAGTGTGATTACAGTGAAGCACACAGACATCACCCCCCCACAGTAAAACACTCCCTGTACACAGTTAACCCTTTGATCACTCCTTATGTTAACCCCTTCCTGCCTAGTGCCATTAGTACAGTGTCAGTGACACCAAGTCAGTTCCCTCCAGTGTCCGAATGCCCGACACAGTCCCGCTATAAGTTGCCGATCGCCGCCATTACTAGTAAAAAAAAAAAAAAAAAAAAAAAAAAAAATTCTATTATCTATGCCACTATTTGTAAACGCTATAACTTTCACATAAACCAATTAATTTAAACATATTGGGATTTTATTTTAGGAAAGACATGTAGCAGAATACATTTTGGCCTAAATTTATGACGAAATTTGTGTTTTGTGATTTTTTTTTTTTTTTTTTTTTTTTACTGAACATGTTTAATAGCAAAAAGTCAAAAATATTGTTTTTTTTCTCAAAATTGTTAGTCTTTTTGTTTACCACCGAATGAAAGCTCAATTTGTGGGAAAAAAGACGTAAATTTCACTTGTGTGCAGCGTTGCATGACCGGGCAATTGTCAGTTACGCAGCACCGCAACGCAAAAAAAAAGATACTGGAGAGTTCAATAAAAGACCACATAGATGAGTTCTTGCTTGAAAAAAATATTTTAAGCAACAGACAGCATGGATTCATGAAAGACAGAAGTTGGCAAACAAATCTAATTTTTGTTTATGAGGAGATGAGCAAAACCTTGGACAGAGGGGTGGCGGTGGACGTGATATACTTGGATTTTGCAAAAGCGTTTGACACAGTTCCCCACACATGGCTAATGTGTAAGGTAAAGACTACAGGATTGGAAAACCTGAGTATGTAAATGGATAGAAAACTGGCTAAAAGACCGAATTCAGAGAGTAGTGGTTAATGATTCATACTCTGAATGGTCTAGGGTTGTCAGTGGTGTACCCCAAGGTTCAGTGTTGGGACCCATACTTTTTAATATATTTATAAACGATATAGGGTCTGGGAGTAAAAATACCGTTTCAGTCTTTGCAGATGACACCAAGCTGTGCAGTGGAATAACGTCCTTACAGGATGTCTTCAACTTACAAACTGACCTCAATGCACTGTTTAATTGGGCAACTATGTGGCAAATTTATTTCAGGTACTTATATAGCGCCATCAATTTACGTAGCGCTTTACATATATATTGTACATTCACACCAGTCCCTAACCCTCAAGGGGTGTACAATATAAGGTCCCTAACTCACATTCATACATACACATACTAGGGCCAATTTAAACAGGAGCCAATTGACCTCCCAGCATGTCTTTGGAGTGTGTGAGGAAACCCGCACAGGCAGAAAAAACTTCAGGCAGGTGGTGCCATGGTTGGGATTCGAACTGACGGGAGCACAGGGGAATCAATGGTGGAGAAGGATCTTGGAGTTCTGGTAGATCACAAGCTTAATAATGGCATATAATGCTAAGCTGTGGTTTCTAAAGTCAGCAAAATCCTCTCTTGTATTAAAAGAGGTATAGACTCCAGAGAGAGAGCGATCATATTACTCCGGTACAAATCATTAATAATACCTCATCTGGAATATGCAGTTCAATTTTGGGCACCAATTCACAAAAAAGAATATTGGGGAACTGGAGAAAGTGCAGAGAAGGGCAACCAAACTGATAAGAGGCATGGAGGAGCTCAGCTATGAGAAAAGATTAAAGGAATTGAATTTATTCTCTCTTGAGAAGAGGAAATTAAGGGGGGATATGATCAACATGTATAAATACATCATTGGTTCATATAGTGAACTCTGTGTAGAGCTATTCACCCTGAGGTCATCACAGAGGACAAGGGGGCACTCTTTAGGTCTGGAAGAAAAGAGATTTAATCTCCAAATACGGAAAGGTTTCTTCACAGTGAGAGCTGTGAAAATGTGGAATAGACTCCCTCAAGAGTTGTTTCTTGACAGCTCAGTAGATTGCTTTAAAAAAAAGGCCTGAATTCTTTCCTAGATACAGAGAATATAACTGGATATTAATATTTCTAGGTAAAGGTGATCCAGGCAATATCCAATTTCCTCTCGGGGGATCTGAAAGGATTTTTTGCCTTCCTCTGGATTAACTGTGGGTATAGGATTATAACTTTTTTTTTTTTTTTTTAATGAATAAACTAGATGGACTTTTGTCTTTTTTTTTTTTCGGCCAGATGTAATACCACTAACAGTTGACCATGGAATATTTAGTTGCAAGTAAATTCCACGGATGGACTGATAGCAACCTATCATGGTACCATGCTGGAATTCACTGAGCTCCTGAGAGCGACCATTTCTTTCACAAATGTTTGTAGAAACAGTCTGCATGCCTAGGTGCTTGATTTTATACACCTGTGGCCATGGAGGTGATTGGAACACATGAATCCAATGATTTGGAGGGGTGTCCCAATACTTTTGGCAATATTATTATTATAAGTACTTCTATAGCGCCATTAATTTACACAGCGCTTTGCATATATATTGTACATTCACATCAGTCCCTAACCCTCAAGGGGCGTACAATAAAGAAGCCAAGGAAAGTTTGATTTTATTTCCATCATTTACACTTTCAAAATAACAGAAAACAAAAAAATGGCGTCTGCAAAAGTTTGGGCACCCTGCAGAATTTATAGCATGCACTGCCCCCTTTGCCAAGCTGAGACCTGCCAGTGTCATGGATTGTTCTCAATCATCGTCTGGGAAGACCAGGTGATGTCAATCTCAAAGGTTTTAAATGCCCAGACTCATCTGACCTTGCCCCAACAATCAGCACCATGGGTTCTTCTAAGCAGTTGTCTAGAAAACTGAAACTGAAAATAGTTGACGCTCACAAAGCTGCAGAAGGCTATAAGAAGATAGCAAAGCGTTTTCAGATGTCAATATCCTCTGTTCGGAATGTAATTAAGGAATTGCAGTCATCAGGAACAGTAGACGTTAAAGCAAGATCTGGAAGACCAAGAAAAATATCAGACAGAACAGCTCGCAGGATTGTGAGAAAAACAATTCAAAACCCACGTTTGACTGCGCGATCCCTCCAGAAAGATCTGGCAGACACTGGAGTTGTGGTACACTATTCCACTATAAAGAGATACTTGTACAAATATGGTCTTCATGGAAGAGTCATCAGAAGAAAACCTCTTCTACGTCCTCACCACAAAAAAATCATCGTTTGAACTTTGCAAATGAACATATAGACAAGCCTGATGCATTTTGGAAACAAGTTCTGTGGACCGATGAGGTTAAAATTTAACTTTTTGGCCGGAATGAGCAAAGGTACATTTGGAGAAGAAGGGGCACAGAATTTAACGAAAAGAACCTCTGTCCAACTGTTAAGCATGGGGTTGGATCAATCATGCTTTGGGGTTGTGTTGCAGCAAGTGGCACAGGGAACATCTCACGAGTAGAAGAAAAAATGGATTCAATAAAATTTCAGCAAATTTTGTATGGTAACTTGATGCCATCTGTGAAAAAGCTGAAGTTAAAGAGAGGATGGCTTCTACAAATGGATAATGATCCTAAACACACCTCGAAATCCACGGGGGATTACATCAAGAGGCGTAAACTGAAGGTTTTGCCATGGCCTTCACAATCTCCTGACCTCAACATAATTGAAAGTCTATGGATAGACCTTAAAAGAGCAGTGCGTGACAGACAGCCCAGAAATCTCAAAGAACTGGAAGACTTTTGTAAGAAAGAATGGGCAAAGATACCTCAAACAAGAATTGAAAGACTCTTGGCTGGCTACAAAAAGCGTTTACAAGCTGTGATACTTGCCAAAGGGGGCAGTACAAGATATTAACTCTGCAGGGTGCCCAAACTTTTGCAGACGCCATTTTTTTGTTTTCTGTTATTTTGAAAGTGTAAATGATGGAAATAAAATCTAACTTTTGTTGACATATTATAAGAATGTCTAATCTGTAATTTGATGCCTTTTGGAGATTTTTCCATCTTTCCTTGGCTTCTTTATGCACATTAATACAAATTTTTAGGTGGGGTGCTCAAACTTTCGATCCCCACTGTATATGTGTATATATATATATATATAGTATTTCACAGGAGTGAGTACACCCCTCACATTTTTGTAAATATTTTATTAAATTTTTTCATGTGACAACACTGAAGAAATTACACTTTGCTACAATGTAAAGTAGTGAGTGTACAGCTTGTATAACAGTGTAAATTTGCTGTCCCCTCAAAATAACTCAACATACTACCATTAATGTCTAAACCGCTGGCAACAAAAGTGAGTATACCCGTAAGTGAAATTTTTAAAATGGGGCCCAAAGTGTCAATTTTTTGTGTGGCCAACATTATTTTCCAGCACAGCCTTAACCCTCTTGAGCATGGAGTTCACCAGAGCTTCAGAGGTTGCCTCTGGAGTCCTCTTCCACTCCTCCACAACGACATCACGGAGCTGGTGGATGTTAGAGACCTTGCGCTCCTCCATCTTCCGTTTGAGGATGCCCCACAGATGCTCAATAGGGATCATGCTCTGCTTCAGTATGTCACAGTACATGTTGGCATTCATGATTCCCTCAATGAACTGTTGTTCCCCAGTGCCAGCAGCACTCATGCAGCCCCAGACCATAACACTCCCACCACCATGCTTGATTGTAGGCAACACACACTTGTCTTTGTGCTCATCACCTGGTTGCCACCACACATGCTTGACACCATCTGAACCAAATAAGTTTATCTTGGTGTCATCAGACCACAGGACATGGTTCCAGTAATCCATGTCCTTAGTTGGCTTGTTTTCAGCAAACTGTTTGCAGGCTTTCTTGTGCATCATCTTTAGAAGAGGCTTCCTTCTGGGACGACAGCCATGCAGATCAATTTGATGCAGTGTGCAGCATATGGTCTGAGCACTGACAGGCTGACCCCCCACCCCTTCAACCTCTGCAGCAATGCTGGCAGCATTCGTACGTCTATTTCCCAAAGACAACCTCTGGATATGACACTGAGCACGTGCACTCAACTGCTTTGGTCAACCATAACGAGGCCTGTTCTGAGTGGAACCTGGCCTGTTAAACCGCTGTATGGTCTAGGCCACCATGCTGCAGCTCAGTTTCAGGGTCTATGCAATCTTCTTATAGCCTAGACTAGGGTTGGGCAACTGTGGCCCTCCAGCTGTTGGTGAACTACAAGTCCCATCATGCCTCTGCCTTTGGGATTCATGCTTGTAACTGTCAGTTTTGCAATGCCTCATGGGACTTGTAGTTCTACAACAGCTGGAGGGCCACAGTTGCCCACCCCTGGCCTAGACCATCTTTATGTAGAGAAACAATTTTTTTTTCAGATTCTCAGAGAGTTCTTTGCCATGAGTTGCCATGTTGATCTTCCAGTGACCAGTTTGAGAGAGTGAGAGCAATAACACCAAATTTGACATACCTGCTCCCCATTCACACCTGAGACCTTGTAACACTAACGAGTCACATGACACCAGGGAGGGGAAATGGCTAATTGAGTCCAATTTTGACATTTTCACTTAGGGGTGTACTCACTTTTGTTGCCAGCAATTTAGACATTAATGCCTGTGTGTTTAGTTATTTTGAGGGGACAGAAAATTTACACTGTTATACAAGCTGTACACGCAGGCTCGAGAGCTGAGCAATCTCGCGATCACTCAATTTTCAGGCTTAGAAGTAGCAAAGGACAGCTTGCAGTGATGGATCAATGCTGCAGCAGGCAGGTAAAACTGGTTGAATGAAAAAAAATTATCCAATTCCCTCATTCACACATTGGATTATTATTATTATACAGTATTTATATAGCGCCAAAGGGTATGCTCAGCGCTGTACAGTAGCAAGGGGGACATAACATGAGACAAGACAGTAACAATACACTACACGAGGGGTTCGAGGGCCCTGCTCTTTCGAGCTTACAGTCTAGGAGGGAGGGGAACGTGGCACAGGAGGAGATGGCTGTGGGGGATGGAGTGGTGGGTGGAGTGGAGGAGGTTAGTTGTTAGGTGAGGTTGGGGTAGGCTTCCCTGACGAGGAGGGTTTTCAGGGTGCGCCTGAAGGTGAGGAGGGTAGGTGACAGTCTGATGGATTGGGGTAGGGAGTTCCAGAGGATGGGGAAAGTCCCGGAGAAGTCCTGCAATCGGGTGTGGGAGGAGGAGACCAGGGAGCTAGAGAGCAGGAGGTCCTGTGAGGAGCGGAGGGCACGGGTAGGGTAGTATCTGGGTATCAGGTCAGTTATGTAGTTCGGGGCGGCATTGTGAATGGCCTTGTAGGTCTGGGTTAGCAGCTTGAACTTGATGCGTTGGGCAATCGGGAGCCAATGAAGGGATTGGCAGAGGGGGGAGGCAGATGTGGAGCGCTTGGTGAGGTGGATGAGTCTGGCCGCTGAGTTTAGGATCGATTGGAGTGGGGATAGCGTTCGTTTGGGTAGGCCAGTGAGAAGGGAGTTGCAATAGTCCAGGCGTGAGATGATGAGGGAGTGTACGAGTTGTTTGGTGGTGTCTGGGGTGAAAAATGTGCGTATCTTGGAGATGTTGCGGAGGTGGAGCCTGCAAGATCTAGATAGTAGTTGGATGTGGGGTAGGAAGGAGAGGTGGGAGTCCAGGGTGACACCCAGGACTTTGGCGTGTGGGGTGGGAGAGATGGTGGCGTTGTTAGTAGTGATGGAGAGGATGGGGGGGGCACGGGGTGGGGGGAAGACCAGGAGCTCGGTTTTGGATAGGTTAAGTTTGAGGAAATGGAGCGACATCCAGTCTGATATGTCGTTTAGGAGGTGGGCGTTGCGGGCAGAGAGTGAGGGGGTGAGGTGGGGGGTGGAGAGGTAAATTTGGGTGTCGTCAGCATAGAGGTGGTAATTGAAGCCGTGGGAGTGAATAAGTTTGCCAAGGGAGGAGGTATAGATGGAGAAGAGGAGGGGCCCGAGGACAGAGCCTTGGGGGACCCCGACAGAGAGGGGGAGGGAGGGGGTAGGTGGCAGTGTTGTAGGTGATGCTGAAGGAGCGTTGGGAAAGGTAGGAGGCGAACCAGGAGAGAGCAGCGTTCTTGATGCCAAGGGATTGCAGTTTGGAAAGCCAAGGGATTGCAGGAGGAGAGGGTGGTCAACAATGTCGAAGGCCGCGGAGAGGTCGAGGAGCAGGAGGATAGAATAGTGGCCATTGGCTTTGGCAGTTAGCAGGTCATTGGTGATTTTAAGTAGGGCGGTTTCGGTGGAGTGCAGTGGGCGGAAGCCAGACTGTAGGGGGTCAAGGAGGTTGTTATCAGTGAGGTGGGCGCTTAGGCGATTGTAGACCAGGCGCTCAAGGAGCTTGGAAGTGAAGGGCAACAAGGAGATGGGTCTAAGGTTGTTAAGGTTAGTGGGGTCAAGGGAGGGTTTTTTTGAGTATGGGGGTGATATGTGCGTGCTTACATTGCATGCTGATGGGAGAATCCCTACTGTTGAGCTATTGTAATATGACAGCAGGGAGCCTTCCATGCTGTCAGAATAGAATGATCAGTGTTGTCGGCTATACCTGGCAGCGCTGATTGTTCAGGAGAAACCATGGGCTGATTGTACATAAGTCAGTCTATAGATTTACTTGTGTACAGAGCCAGCCTGTTCATACATGGATCCAAATTCGTCCGGTTCCTGCTGAACCGGCCAAATTTCGAACCATATATGGTCATCTTAAGTATGTATATTTTCTGTACTTCTCCTTTAAGGAATTGCTTGCTGGGTTTAATTTGGTGCAGAATGCAGGGCAGGTGTTACTGGACTTTTTGGTTTCACTAGATTCCATTGTCTGCCCTGCTGAGTCTTAACACTCCTGGTCTTATCTCATGTCACTTCCTTGTTTGTTTTAAGGGTCACACCATACAATAGCTTTCATTAAGTCTTATCTTACAAGATGAACAATGAGAAAATGTTTACACTCATGCTAACATCCTTTGCATTGGTCAGATAAGATGTAATTACTGTGGTACCAGATCAGTTGTATGAGTCTTTTGTGAACTTCCAGCAATACTTACTGAAGAACATCAAAGTGAAGATCAGATTATGCTAAGATATGTGCAGCATGTGTAGGATACAGTAAATTAAATGTACAGATTAGTTTGGAACAGTGTTGCTGCTGTTCATTTGATATCAGATCTGGAAGATTCCTGCTACCTGAATTGTTTTTACATATGGTGATTCTATAACACCTACTAAAGAGAGCATAGATATAATGGTGTCTGCATTTCCTTTTGTGCTGGCCATAGAATGCATTTACACCAACACTAAAGCTGGCAATACATGGATCAAAATTCATCCGGTTAAGCAGGAACCAACTAAATTTCGATTCATCTATTGCTATTTTAATTTGTAAGTAGTCGATCTAATGATCAGCTTCTCACAAATGGGCTTGTTGTAAAATATTTGTTCAGTCATTGCTGCAGATAATTGGCTGCAGCACTAATCAGAGCCGGTTCACACCAGGAATGACACAGGAGCATGCTGTGCGTATCACATGCAGTTCTCTGTGTGCTTTGATTTCAGCCTGATTATTTTGAATGGGCTGAAATTGCACTACACCAAAAGTAGCGCATGCACTATTTTCAGAAAGTCACTGCAACTAGATCGCATGGTACTTGTGTACCTTGTATTTGCGACCTGCTTTTGGGGTGTCATTAACTTAACATTGATATCTATTGCAGACCACAACTGCATTGTGTTTTGATTGTGGTGCGGGAAACGGATTCTGGAACGTTTCCTGCACCACGTTCTGGTGTGAACTGACCCCCCAATGTATTCTGACAGCGGGGAAGTCCCTCCTGTCAGAATGCAATAGCACAATGGGAATGATTCCTCTATCCACCACACTTATGTGACAGTGGTGATTAATGTAAACTGAAGGCAAAACTTTTGGAGAGGAGTGGAGAGGGATTAGAACACCTGTCAGTTCTTATTGCTGTCTGTGAACCCCAAGGGATTCCCTCTCACTTTCTATTGTGGTTATGGTACAGGAAGTGAAGGTAAATCTCCCCGGTGGGACACAGATGGAAAAAAACTGATCGGGTCATAACCAGCCCTTACGCTATCCAAAATTAAAGGTTTGCCTTTAGTTCTACGTTAACCGAACATTGTCACATGCCTCTCCATACCCAGAAGACCCAAAACTTCCTTTTGATTCAGGTGCAGAATAGAGCAGCAGGGATGGGGGGTAGTACAGCAAGACCTGTTAGTTTGCGCTGAATGAAAGGCTACTTATAGTAAAACAGATTTCTCATTGGAAGCAGTAAGCAGTGAGTTATCTACCTGTCTTATTAATACCACACTGCTGGACCAGATGAGGCAATTTTATCTGACTTTTGTACATGTTGGCATACACCATAGTAAAGGGATTGATGAATGTTTTGTTCTGAACAGGGAAGGATTCATCCTAAAACATCTCAGAAAGCTTTTCTGACATTCATGCTGATTCTTTATTGCCCTTTTTCATCCTTTCATTGCACAACAATCACAACCAGCACTTTGCTGTGGAACATAGCCACAGCAACTCAGCAAAGTGGGAAGTATAAGCTTTGTAGACTGTTAAGCTGACCAAGAAACAGCTGAGGAGTTATCTCTATCCACTTTTACAGAAAATTGGTAAATCTTGAGTTTTTCAAGCTGCCTTTTGACACGCTTTGATGTAACTGTCTGTCTTCAACTAGACCTGAGTAATGTCTGCAATGTATTCCCATTTTCACAGTCTTCTAATCCATTTTGTGAAGAGTTTTTCTGCAGCTTTAAGAATTTCCTGTTGTAGGGGTCCTGCATGAGACTGAAAAATCTGTCTGCACAAGATTAATGTGACTGTTAAAAGTTATAGCAAGTTAATACTCAATCTCAGATTCATAATTTTTGCTCACAGTGCTTTGAAAGGAAGTATTAGTAATGTCCAGAAATGTAGGTTATTGCAGACTGCCAGATTTTACAAATCATTTTTTAGCTTCTTGGTGGAACGGCAAATACCATCCACTTGCCTGTTTAATAGCTGTTGATCCTGCCAGTATTTGTCCCATTTAAAATGCAACTAAGCTGATGTTTCTGATTCAAAGCGTGAGAAAGTTATTTGCCGATTTAAAAATGTGCTTTTTTAACATGTTGCACATTTTATTTTTATACAACACTAAAAAAACCCCAAAAGAATGAAAACAGGTGAACATTTTAAATAGAATAGTAAAGTAAAAACTTATAAGGTTTCTTTAACTGAGTTCATATACAGATCAAAGGTCATACCTTTGTAAATATAAACTAGCAGTACATTGTTACACTGTGTTACTTAGTAAC